ATGTGTCAAAGTACCTAAAATCTTGTCATATTTGTCAAATGGTAGGAAAACCAAATGAAAGTATACCAGCAGCTCCCATTAAGCCCATCCCAGTATTTTGTACTCCATTTGAAAAGATTGTTGTGGATTGTGTGGGCCCATTACCAAAGACAAAGAAGGGAAATCAATTCCTGCTCACAGTTATGGATACCAATACACGTTATCCTGAGGCTTTTCCCCTTAAAAACATCACATCAAAAAATGTAATCAAACCTCTTTTGCACCTTTTCACTTCAGTGGGCATTCCTAAAGAGATCCAATTCGATCAGGGCACCAATTTTACGGGCAATCTTTTCAAACAGGTGATGAAAGACCTCAGTGTGGCCCATTGTACATCTTCGGCTTACCACCCACAATCCCAAGGTTGCTTGGAACGGTTCCATCAAACTTTCAAATCAATGCTCAAAAAATACTGTATAGAACACCAAAAGGAATGGGATGAAAACATAGACTTGTTACTCTTTGCCATCAGGGAATGTCCCCAGGAGTCATTGGGTTTCTCCCCGTTCGAGTTACTATATGGGAGACAAATTATGGGACCCCTTAAAATAGTAAAGGAACAGTGGTTTGACACTCCATCTATTAAGCCCGCAACAGTTTCCCAATACATTGACACTTTACGGGACAAATTAACTGAAGTCCGAACCATTGCTCAGTCAAACTTAAAAAAAGTCCAAGAAAAAATGGTGAAGTCCCAACCTAAATTAGTTGAAAGATCATTTTCTCCAGGTGACAAAGTGTTACTCTTTCTACCCATTCCAGGCTCTCCCCTTAAAAGCAAGTTTACTGGTCCCTATATAGTTGCTAATAAACTATCTCCCCTCAACTATATAGTCCATACTCCTGATCGCAGAAAAGATTCACAACTTGTTCACATTAATCTCATGAAACTTTACCATTCCAGGCAGTCAGAGGAAGACATCCCAGAGGCTATAAGCCTACCTGTATTGCATACGGTTTTGTCAGGGCCGGAGCCGGAGACAGATGACATGGACCTATTGGAGAATTTAGACTTCCCTCTACCTAAAGAAAACCCTGCTAACAGTCACATACTCAACAACTTGGATGAGTATTTTTCTGTTCTGAATCCATCTCAAGCAAAAGATCTCACTAAGTTATTATCAACATTTCCTAAAGTCACGTCAGACCTCCCAGGGTTTTGCAATATACTTAAACATGATATTAAGCTAATCTCAGATGATGTACAACCCATTAGGCAATCAGCATATCGACTAAATCCACAAAAAAGAGAGATTATGAAAAAGGAGGTAGATTTTTTGTTAAAACATAACTTAGCTGAGCCTAGTACCTCCCCCTGGGCTTCACCTTGCCTTCTCATTCCAAAACCCGATAGCACTTTTCGTTTCTGTACCGATTATCGTAAAGTGAACCAGGTCACTGTCTCAGACTCCTACCCTTTACCTTTGATTGAAGATATAATAGACAGCATAGGCTGTGCCAAATTTATCAGTACGGTGGACTTATTGAAAGGATATTATCAAGTGGGACTCACGGATAGGGCAAAAATAATCTCGGCATTTATAACTCCATTTGGTCTTTTTTAATATTTGGTTATGGCGTTTGGCTTTTCTAATGCTCCGGCCACATTCCAGAGGGCCATCAACTACCTTATTCAGGACCTAGGTGGGACGTTCGCCTACCTGGATGACCTGGTGGTGGTGTCGGACAGCTGGGACGAACATCTGGTGCGTTTGGAGATACTGTTTGCACGACTGCAAGAGACTGGATTCACCATAAACCTGGCTAAATCTGCTTTTGGCCGGGCCTCAGTGACTTACCTGGGACATATCGTTGGGCATGGTATGGTGAGACCCAAGGACGCAAACGTTAGAGCCATCTTGTCCTTCCCCACTCCAAGGACGAGGAAGGAACTCATGCGCTTCCTGGGGATGTGCGGCTACTACCGTCGGTTCTGCAGTAACTTCTCCAGCGTGGCCGGACCCCTCACAGACCTTACCAGTTCTGCGGTCCCTTACATCTGGAACCAGAGGTGCGACCAGTCTTTCCACCGCCTCAAAGCCTTCCTTGCCTCCAAGCCTGTAGTCCACCCCCCTGACTACACCTTGCCCTTCCATCTGCAAATCGACGCTAGCGGTGTCGGAGTGGGGGCTGTGCTCCTACAACCCGACCCAACCACTGATGTCCTTCACCCTGTGGCATACTACTCCGCCAAGTTGAAAAAACATCAGACCAACTACTCGACCATAGAGAAGGAGGCCCTGGCTCTGGTGTTGGCAATAAAGAAGTTTGAATGTTACCTCCAGTCTTGCCCACAAACAACCCTAGTCTTCACCGACCATAACCCACTCACGTTCATCCAAACCAACAAGACCTCCAACCAGCGAATCCTCCGCTGGGCTCTCCTCACCCAGCCCTATAATCTACAAGTCCGGCACATAAAGGGGGTGGACAACCTGATTGCAGACTCCTTATCCCGAGCTCCAGTGGAAATGCAGCAGCTACTCTCCAGACGCACCAGGTGATCACCTCCTTCGCGCCCGCGCTACGGAGGTCTTTGGAGGGGGGGGTGTGTTACGAACCCCTCCACCCAGCACTACGAACCACGCCATCTATTGTCTTGATCTACCTACCCAGCACTACGAACCACGCCATCTATTGTCCTGATCTACCTACCTAGCACCACGAGCAACGCCATCTAGGGACAAAACCCGAGTATGACTACTCTTAGTTACCAGTCCGGGGTTTCCCTTCTCCATATCCTGGTTGTTGCGTCACCTCCTCCAAGTCTTCTTCATAAGCTCCAGTTTGATGAGAGTTCAGTTCACTCTGGGAAGTGACCACAGGATCACCTATCCTGGAAACCTACGGCACAGTGACTACCTACCGTCTTCTACAATACTCAGCCTTACTCGTCCACCTTGCTTCAAATTATTGTATGTTGTATAAATATGTACATACTGTTAATGTTTAGGTTAAGTATGGTTAAGGGTAAATTATAGAAAGCTGAATATTTTGTTAAGGAATTTATGGTACTTTATTATACACAACAAAAACTCGTATCCTTTGTCTACCCTTTTATAGTCCGATTGTCTTTGTTTTTTTTTGTTGTTGCCTGTTGGGATCTGGGTAGACTTTTAACTATATTCAAAATCCCCAACTCGTAACACTTTTCTTGCCATGTTTATTGTTTGTAAAAATGCACAGCACAGTACAGTTCAGTACTGTACATAGGAAGTGGAGGTGCAGTTATTCACAAAACATTTGTGTTCGTTGTCGGCAGTAGTGACGGTGAGGAGGTGGAGGCGGAGGAGGGAGCGGAGGGAGCGAGTTGGGAGGAGTGGTGACCTTGGACGCGGGAGGTGGGACGAGTGGAGATGCCAGCCAGTACATTACGGGTGTATTAATTGTTTTTATAGCTATTTTTGCATTTTAATATTAAATACTGTACATTACATTTCAACAAAACTACCAATTATTTCTGAGAACATGGAAATGTAATATTTTTGCTGAAATGATGTACGTATTACAGTGGAAAGTGGGATAAAATTGTGACGAAAGCAATGACTTTCTCTTTCTTTCGTTCAAAAGATGTTACCGTAATCACTTTTCGAATGGTTTTCAGTTGTGGGATTATAAGGCTAATGATAGGATAGAATATTATTGTAATACAGTACGAGTACAACAGTTTTTTAACTGAAAACCATTCGAAGAGCGATTACGGTAAAATCTTTTGAATAACGAAAGAAAGCGAAAGTCATTGTTTTCGTCATGATTTTATCCCACTTTCCACTGTAATATGTTCGTCATTCCAGCAAAAATATTATATTTCCATATTTATTTCTGAGAATACGTATATTCATTCAGTCACAGTTAAGGTTAAATATACTTGTGATGTAATATTTAAATGAAAATACGGTATCATAGTTTTCTTTTGTTTCAAATTTAATTAACAAAGATTGATGTTTCAAATGTAATGAACAAAAATTTACGTCCAGTATCTATAAATAAACTTTAATAAATGAATACTTTATGTTTTACATCGTCCTGTGCTACCATACCATGGATTTGGCTACTTTGGGCTTGCTATGATGACGCAAGAGATCTTGCCCTGGCAACTGTACCGACACTCACAGCTGGTGGTGCGTTGGTGCATCGTTTCCATTGTTTACTGGTAGTTACTGGTAAATATTTTTCAACCTAACGAAACTAATACCCGTTTAGAGGTCGACCCCCCAATTTTTTGCCAAATAATTTGGTCTTAATAACTCGAACTACACACAGGTATATCCGGTAAATAAGGACATGGGGGGGGGCCAGGGTTTTTTTTTGGGGGGGGGTGGGGGGGAGGCAGCAAAAAATACGCGGATTTTTAACATCCATGGGTATCTCTGTTACGTAACCCCCGCGTATGTTAAGGGCCGACTGTAAATATAACAAGAGAAATACATAGTACTAATTATACAATTATACTTATGACAAACTGGACAACATTTGTAACAAAGTGAACAGGGTGAAACTAAACTAACAGCTGTAATAATTAAGCAGTATCACCCGTGACCCCCATTATATAATTAGAGATACATGCTTTTTAATAACAATAAAAGAAATGGGAGATTCAACCCATTCCTGCACCTATGAATACCTAATCTGTTCAAAGCACTTGAAGTCCATACTGGGCATAAAATGTTTAGAAAAGCGAGTGAGGTAACAACTTAAATCACCAATGGCTTTAAAATAGTGCAGTGGTATACAATACTTGTCCTCTGATGAAAAGGTCCACCTTAAAAAACACATTCTGTTTGTTCTTAAAGATTGCGCCAAATTCAAAATCCCTTGAATATAAAAAATCATAATAAAAAATAAGATGTCTACATAATGAAACCTACTTTGAATCAAGATAAATAGCAAGGCTGATAAATCTTACTAAAGCCATGGTCAACAGGTCTAAATATTATTTCATTCAATAATTCCCAACCTACCTGCCCTCTGCTACTAGATCCTGAACCATGGTGAGATCTCTGGAAATCAAGGAGGCCAAATTCATCTGAAAAAGTGTCCATCATTGAGCAACGCATCACCTCCACAACATCGCAGGCATCATCTTCAGTAGCTTCTTCACGCATCTCACATCTTGCTCGTGCCTGAAGGTGTCACAATAATGTTAAGCAGTGATCCCAACCTTTTGTAGGCTCTGGGCCACATGTATCATTGTAAATATAGTGGAGGGCACCAAAACTTTGGATCTACATTCAAGAAAAATTTTCAAATATACTATATAGCTATTTGCAGTTTTACACAGGTCTAACTGTTACCAGTTACACACTTTTTACATTTACCTAACCTAACCTAACCTTATTCAACCAGAAAGGGTATGTTACTTTGGTTTGAAAAATTAGTTTTGAGAAACTGGCCAAGAAAGGTAGAGCGAGAGCAAGACTCGGGTCCTGCTACTAGCCTGCTAAGATAGGTGCCAGATACTGATTTTTACCAAGTGATTAGTATTACTTTACACGAAAATATTATTAAAAGTACTTTTCTACAGCTTTTGCTATGTAAACAGAAGGGCCCTCTAAATGAAGGGGGTTAAAACAATCATGCATAGCTAGATAAATGTTACGAATTATGCAATCAAAATACGTCAACAGATAGCACATAGGCAACAGCTTTCCTCGCGAATTTTTCTGAATATTTTTGTAATTTTACGATTTTCATCATATTTTCAACCAGACGCTCTCCTCAAGTTTTCTAGTTCACCAGAAACACTACTAACATCCTTAAAAGTTATGTTCAACAATAACCATATACAGGTGGGATGAATGTTTAGATGGAAGAATCTACAGCAGCAAGTGTGGAAGATATTCTGCATGATACATTAGTACTTCACAAAGAATAGGAACCCCAACTAATCTCACCTCATGATTAAACACCCTAATTCTAGGATTAGGTTAAGATTGGTAAAGTAAGCAATAAGGTGTTTAATCATTAGGTGAAATAAATGGGGGTTTGTAATCATCAAAAAGACCCATACATTTTACTGTAAAGCATTTAGGCTACAAAGATTGAGGCACAGATACAAATTTACAAACTCATTTGAAAAACATTTTAAGCAAGAAGTGATAAAAATAATAATAATAAATACAAACTTCTGTTAATCTAATAAGTGATTCCAACTGTCGTGTTGTGATGGGCACTGAATTGTTATCCTGGTAACGATGTCGAAGGTCTAAATAAAACTTCTGCAGTATCTTTGCTGCTCCAGGAGTGATCCGCGGCTGTACATATTTCCGTGAATAACAAATGTACTTGCGCATCAACTGATGGGGTATAGGGTCAAAGACTTCATTACTACAGTACTTGAGTTGTTCACTGTTGGATAAAAGTGCAAATTTCATGTTGGATAAAAGTGAAAATTTCATAATTCCATATCATTCAATCTGAATTTATCAAGTACACTATGAGCATATACAGTGCTCTTCACATAAAACAATCATCTTAGTACTGTATATAATACAGTAATTTCTATATTTGCTTTGAATTAGATTTTTAGTAACATATAACTGTAATATTATTCAAATATTTATACATAATCTGATTAACACAACAAAATACTGTATATACAATATGGAATAAGTGAACATCAGTAGAAAAGATACTAAAACTGTACCTTAGAGGTTTTTCTCTATCAGTGATACTTGACACTGTGTCCAGCAAATCTTGTCTACTGACCCTCACTCCTCCAGGTAGTTGAGCCCTTCCTGCTTTGTTGCTGTGGAGAGCCATCACATGCTCGGATAACAGATTGTCCAATTCCTGGTAAAAAAAATAAATAAAATAAAATAAAATAACAAAGATAATAAAACATGTTGATATATGTTAATGAAATCCAAGAGAATCTACAACTCTAGTCTTCAACAAGTGACCTTTGAAATTCATACTGTTAAAAATGCCCTAGAAAAAGCTGCCTTTGCCTAAGGCAAAGGATGTCTTCTTACCCAATTGAATGTGGATTGATGAATTAGTCCCATTTAATTTAATGGTTGTTTCAAGGATCAGTGAGAAACAAGGGTTGAAAACCTTGTGCAGACTTGCACAACATGTAGCCACAATTTTTTTTAATCCTGCTCTCTCACTTCCTTGCAGCTCTGTTTAAGAACCAATAAGAAACTCCTTCACAATTTTTTCTTCACTCTAACTGCTATAGCAGATGTGCTCTGCTAAGGTGTTCCACCTTCCAAATGTTTACTGTCAGTGACATAATATGATAGTAAAAGATGGTTGATGATGATAACACAGAACAGTACAGCCTTTGGAAAGTTAAAAATATACCATTACTTTTATGAACCAGTGAAACTTTACCTCATCAGGTTTATCCAATAGTATGAAAACCAAGTCAAATCTCGAAAGAAGTGCACCCTTCATCCTCAAATTCTCTGAAACCGTTTTGGCTTTGTTATAATGGCCACCAATAGGATTGGCAGCAGCAAGTATGGAGACTCTAGCTGGGAGAGAGCACACAATTCCTGCCTTAGCTATGCTAATGCTCTGTTGTTCCATGGCTTCTAGCAGTGCCTGAAATAGTCACATCAAGTCAATAAGGTCACTATTTTTAATTTAATTTTACCTTAATATTGTAAAGTTTCATTATATGAACATAAAATATAATCCTAAATTGACTTTATTAGCATTTAATCTGGCAGTTTCTCCCTTACCTGATGCTGGTTACCCATTTTATCAAACTCATCAATACAACAAGCTCCCTGGTCAGCTAAGACTAAGGCCCCTCCCTCCAGTGAATAATCTCCAGAGCCACCCTCACGACACAGAGTCACTGTCAAGCCTGCTGTCGTGGTTGTGTTCCCACAAACATACACACCTAAGAAGTAGTCATCAACTTAATTTAATTTCAGTACAATACAGTATAATCTTTTTAGAATGAAATTCCATACATAACAGTAACTTCTATGCCACCCTTTAATTATTATAACCAAAGAACAAATGATTTATCCACATTCAATATACTCTATAGCAAAAGCATTTATGGGTCTGTTAAATCCTGGTTAAAAATGTGTCAGTTACCCAATACAATTCACTGGTTCACTTACCTCTAGGTGCAACATTAGCACAAGCCTGCAGCATCTGACTTTTCCCTAAGCCTGGATCACCCACCACAAGAATGTGGGGGTCTCCTCTGATGGGAACAACATTATGGCCAGATTTGGAACAACCTCCAAATAGACAAAGAATCAAACCAGCTTTTACAAGCTCATGTCCATATATTGCTGGGCAGAGCGATCCTACCAGCAGTTTGAAGAGATTTGACTCCGCTTGGATCTCCTATGAAAAAAAAACCATTCATTAGTTTGCTTAAGAAACTTAACAAAAATAAAAATCATAGCACAAATAAATGTCTTTCCTCCAGATAATTTTTCACTGTGATTCATTGTCATAAATACCAGCATTAGTTGATAATATGTTACACATACAGTCTCTCCTCAACTTACGACGGGGTTCCGTACTGACGACCAGGTCGTAAGTCGAAAAAGCGAAAATAATACATAGAAATTCTAAAATGAAATACAGTACAGTAAAAGTAATCAATAATGAAAAATAATATAAAGTGTAACTGTGTACTTACCTTTAATATAGTCAGCTGAATGCACATGGGGCCTCAATAATTTTTTAATTTAGCATGTTGACTACATTAATTGGATGAAGCAGAGGAGACAGGGCTGGGTGGGTCATCAAGTTTGCTTTCTTCAGACAGGCTAACATACTTGCTTGTTGAAGGTATTGGATCATCTTTAGGAAGTGAAGAGGCAGCAGTGGTGGGGTGTGAGGAGACAGCAGTGGGGGGACTTCTTAAAAAATATGTCCAATTTAGACTGCTCAGTTTGCCTTTTTTTTTTCATTGTAAATCTCCCTGTAGCAATCAAGTGCACCTTGGATCAGTCTGTCAACTTTTGCAAAACGCTCAACATTTTTATTCATTTCTTCAAACATTTGCATCCCCTTATTAATAGTAGCAAATGCCTCTGCCATTTGTTTCACTGGAATCTTTTTGGGGGGTGCAGGTTCTTCTACATTTTGTCTCTTCTTCCTCCGCAATTTTCTGTGAATCCAGTTCATTAAGATCCTCATTACTTAGCTCTTCTGCTATACTTTCCACCAACTGCTCAACATCTTCATTATCAATTTCTAACTCCAGCTGTTGACCCATTTGCACTATCTTGTTACTAATCTCAGAAATTGCTTCATCTTCATTAAATCCTTTGAAACTGTTCACATATCTTTTCAGGACCTTTTTCCATATTCCATTCATGCACTGACCTGCAACCTCATCCCATGCTGCAGCTATGTTCTTTGTACATTGCAAAATGTTGTAGTCCTTCCAAAACTCTCTGAGCGTTTTCTCTTTCAGTAGCAGCAATAGCCTGAGCGAAGGTCGTACGTAAATAATAATACGCTTTAAAAGCAGCAATAGCACCTTGATCCATGGGTTGGATGATAGAGGTAGTGTTAGGTGGAAGGTAGACTACCTTAACATCAGGGTGCAGGTCGTCCAGGTGTGGTGGGTGTCCCGGAGCATTATCTAAAATTAATAAAATCTTGAACACAACCCCTTTTTGCAGACAATACTCCTTTGCTTGTGGAATGAAACAACTCGGGAACCAATCCTCAAACAGTGCTAGGGTCATCCATGCTTTCTTATTACTGCGATAAAACACTGGCAGTGTGTGCTTGCTGACATTTTTAAAAGCCCTTGGGTTCTCTGAATGATATATCATGAAGGGTTTTATCTTGAAACCAGCTACATTTCCCTCAACAAAAGTGTGATTCAGACCTTGAATGCCTTGAATCCCAGCATGGGTTTTGCCTCTTTGTGGATGTATGTCCGTTCTGGCTTGCACTTCCAGAATAAGCCAGTTTCATCCACATTAAATATTTGCTCAGGCAAATAATTTCCCTCCACGATGACACGATCTAGTTCCAAATTAAAAGCTTCAGCAGCACCCACATCAGCACTCGCCTTTACACTGTTCAAACTGTAACATTTCTTAAACCTTTGGAACCACCCATGACTTGCTGTGAAGTTTTGGTCGCACTCATCTCCTGCCTGCTCTTTCAGGCTTTTGAAAAGGCTTCTTGCCTTAGCCTGTATGGTTAGAAGGCTTAAGGGTACACACTTTTGCAGCTGAACTTCCATCCACACCACAAGTAATTTTTCTATCTCATGAAGAGGACCTTGTCTTTTTTTCGTTATTATTGTTCCCTTTATAGGTGCTGATCCTTTCACTACCTCACAAATTCGTTCTTTGTCCTTCAAAATTGTTGATATCGCCGAGTGAGAGAAGCCAAGATCGAGTGAAATGGTTGCTACAGTTTCTCTATTTTCATGCTGCATTATTATTTTCATTTTCATCTCAAAAGTAATTGACTGTCTCTTTTTCTTCTCAGCACCACGAGAACTCTCACTTTTATGCTTGCCAGTCATTTTAAAGGGAATCAGAAACAAAAATTTTGTCAGTACTGTAAACAGCACGATCACTAACACCAACTGAGCGGGCTACAGCGTGGATGCTGTACACCACGAGGCGGCCCAGCCCACGCTGTCGTATGGGGTCACATTACTACAAAACGTTTCGGTACTCGAAAATATGTAATGTGAAAAATATTTTAAACGACCACGGCGAATATCCGGGTTGTCGTAAGTCGAGGAGAGATTGTATATACAGTACAGTGGTCCCTCGGTTAACGAACACAATTCGTTCCAGAAGGTAGTTCGTTAACCGAAACCATTGTTTCAATGGGATTTTGGGTAATTGGTTCCAGCTCACCGAAAATTGCATACAAATTAAAAATAAATGCAGTAAAATGCACTTTCTTTGAGGTGTGTATGTAGAAGGTGTAATTCAAGATTATTTTCTTTAAATCAACACTGCACTGCACTATATATTGTCAATATGTAAAATAAATTTCAGAATGACCAATAATTGTACTGTAAAAACGTAAAAATAGTTTATGTTCAAGAGAGCCAAAAGCAAGATGTTACCTCCACTGACCAGAGATACAAACTGACGCCTTGCTGGGTGAGTCAAGTGGCTGAATGGCGCACCAAAAACTAGTTTCCTGTACTACAATTATGTTAAATAAGTGTTAAAATGACTAAAAATTTTAATATAAAACTTGGAAAATTATTGAATAGTACAACATTCTTCATATTTACTTAAATGAGAACGAATTTAAGCCTTAGAACCGATTACTGTATTGGCGGACTAATATTCCAGCTGGTGAGCAAGCGAAAACATGTTGACATGATTTCGCAAAAATTTCGTTAACCGAATTTTTTTTCGTTTACCAAATTGAAGATTCTTATGGAAAGTAATTCGTTAACCTAAATTTCGTTAACCGAGGCGTTCGTTGGCTAG